GAAAAAAGTTCTCATTTAGTGAAATATCATGACCATGCAATTTTTTAATTTAGACATAGGTATATAATCAGTAATGCCAAGGTGACAACTCCGCACCAATAAATATCTAAATCACAATCACGAACCAAATAATAGCTACTAGCATGTGATTAATCCAATCTGTGAAACAAACATGGCATTTCTTGTAAAACTAGTCCACGAGCATATATATACATGAAAATATGTTTATAAAGAGTACGTAAAATGCAAACACCAACATTCCACTAGAGGGAAGGAGGAGAGAGAGTAAAAAATGAATATGTAAGCACTCTGAAACACGTTAATCCTCAAACCCTTATAACATCAACAAAGTAATTCATCACTGTATATAACTTGTAAACATGAAGGTTCCTTCACGTCTAAAACTCTAGACGGTATAAGAAGAAATAATTGGAGCACATTCAGCACCAGAAATCCTTTACTTAAAATTTGCAACACAAAAAAAAAACTGTAAACTTGAAAAAATCATATTCATGACCCATTATATTACTATCCGGCAATTTACTCTGGCACATGATAAAAATTTTATTTCACCATTTAATGAGAAGGTTTCACTTCTTGCAGGGAGATCACCGTTTCAAAAGCTCCCACCAATGCTTTAACCTTACTTTTCCTGCTTTCAACGAGTTTACTCGCAGTCTCTTCAATCACATTATTCAACAAAACTTGACCGTCTTTCTTCCTCTGCACCTCTGGGTGCTTTAAAATCACTTTTCTAGATGAAAGATCAAAACCAACTACATCGTTCTTGCTTCCTGCCCTTTTTATGGTTTTTGTCCGTAAATCACTTTTGCCATCTTCAGGTCGAGCGACCCTACTCGTAAATTTCAGCCTCATGGGACTCTTGTTAGCCATCTGAGAGTCCACCGTCTTCTCCCTACGGATTAAATTCACAGGAGATTGAGATTTATCTTCACAGACAGCCAGCCGGCTCTTTCTTAAGGATTTGTTTGGAGTTCCCGATTTTACATCCACAGACCTCTTGCTGTAAGAGATAGATGATTCAGCTTTTCTTAAAGTCTTTTCTGGTTGAAAATTTCCATTATCCATGGGCTTCTTGCTATCTGAGATCAAATCGCCAGTTTTATTAACACTGGCTGACCGCCTGAATCTGAGTCTCTTGGGTATAGTACTTTCTGGCTGTGGGTCGATTATTCTTCCTCTCCTGAACTTCAACTTCAATGGCGGCTGATTTTTATCTTCAGATGAAACCAACTTACTCTTTTTCGTAGACTTGCGACTTCCTTTCGGAGACTGTACTTTGTCGGTCTCCACAATTGCCATTTTTTCAGAAAAACCGATCTCGTCTGGTTCACCATTGATCTCTTCATCATTTTTGTCAAGAGATGACGTAGATAGAGAACAAGATACAGACTCGGATGACAAAGATGGATATGCCTCATCCTCACTGACATCATCATCATCATCATCATTAGAGGACAATGGAGTACCATCGTGATTTTCCATCAAAAGTTGTAAGTTTTCAATCTCTGAATCTGCAAAACTTTCACTGTAGTTGATCTTCTCAGCATCATCTTCGTGAGATAGAGAAGATGGAGACGTTGTATGAGTGTGATCCTCTTTCACAGGTTGCATATCGGTGGTTTCAATGGATACTGTATTTTCTGAGACAAATTCATCTCCTTCACTACCACTATTTTGTATCTCATCATTTTCTTCATTTTCTTCTTTTTCTTCTTCATGAGAAGACAAAGACTGAGACCTCAAATGAAAGGAAGATAATATGGGAGATGATGATGGTGATGATAGCAATGGTTTGATTTCTGCTTCATCCTTGATAACATGCAAAGTTTTTTCAGGTTCCTCACCATCTGATTTCTCAGTACCCTTTCTTGCTTCAGTCTCAACAACATGATAAGTTTTCACAGAAACGGCACTGTGGGATTCCGCAGACCTTTTCCGATACTTCAGAGAGGATGACGATGACGACAGCAATGACGATTTTATCCTTCCTACTTTTCTTGCTTTACCGGATGCTGCAGTACCAATAGATAATCTAGAGGCCGATAAACAAGCCGATGAAGATGAAGTTTTCAATGCTTTGTCAGCAGACGCCATTGATGACGTCAGTTTTCGGCCAGTTTGGTCACCATGTGAATTGCCTGAAGCACTTGACGGCTTAACCTTAACCAAGTTTGCCTTTGCTGAAGAAGAACGCTTGACAGACTCTTTATTCTCACCCGAGCCACCAGCTTTTGCTTGAACTTCGACTTTTACAGACGACAATGATATTTCCCTCTTGACAACTTCAGGGATTTCTGACACTGAGGATTTCTTAGTGGACGTCGAATTTTGAAAACGAGTCTTGTTTCCAGATACAGCGTTCAGCCTTGGGGGACATGATTTTGTTAGAGGAGATACTTTAGCCAAAGACGACCGTCTTTTCATCTCCGAAGAAGACTCCTGCTCAGCCGACTTCTCATTCAGTGAAAATTTTGAAGTTTTCGTCAGTGAATGCTCAGTTCTCTTACCTTCATATGTTTCCTTCTTTCTCATATAATTCACCTCCTTCGGTGAAGGCTTCCTCAAATTCTTTTTCCGTAGATATTCCATTGTGTTCTCTTTCGATGCATGGTTCCCTCCATATTTGCAGATATCGTGGCAAGATCCAGTCGAGGCTCTGAGATAGATGGGTACCCTACGTTTAATAGTGTCTGCCGCTCGATCTTGTTTTTCATTAGAAGAACACGATTCCGGCTTATCAATGGTAATGCAAGAAGCAATGGATGCTCGGCGCTTGGGAACAGGACTAAGATCGCCATTCCTCGGAGAAGGAGAATTTTCAGCAGAGTTTATGTCCATTTTCGTGCTGTCGAATGAAAATTCATTCTTTTCGGGAGGTACAAGTGGTTCTATACTTTCTTCAGCCATGGACAATGGATCTCAGGGGGAAAAAATTGGGGAAAGCCCAAAATCCTGCAAATTGAAAGAGAGAATGACTATAAAATACTGGAAGAGGGCTGTGAGAAGCAAATAACTGGATATTTGAAACAATATGTGCACAACATATGTAATCTGGACATATACAACCGCAATCTCTTCCATACACACAGAGATAAGCAAATCTCTTGACTACATAAACAAACAAAAAGCAACTAACTGAAATCTTATAAACAAAAGGCAGATTAAATATATGATCATGTCTTCTTTTTTTTTTTCCTTAATAATACTATTTCACAGAAATAAATAAGTGATACAATCAAGGAAGAAAACAACATAAACAGGGAAGCTAATTCAGAATCAGATGAATTACGGGCATAAACAGGAATTCCTATTTGGATTATTATTCATCAATCAGCAAAACCAAAACAAAAAGACTAGCATACACAAAATCATTCCAAACATTCAGATTATATTTAACCTCGCAAAAACTTTTCATCGGGTAACCTATCGATCACCACTATTGCAAGCAGCGCAACGTTTTCTCAAAATAAAGGCAACAGAAATACAAACAAAACACAAAGAGACGATATTGATAAAATGCCGCAAATAAATGGCGACACGAAAAAACAAAATCTACCAAAAACTTCCGCAGAGGATGCGCAATTCAATCAGTCGATCAATGGATCACAAGCCAGAAAAATCAATCTCTTAAACCTCTTTCTCGTATCAAAGAGAAACTTTCAACAATCCCATGTTCAAGAGCAAAGAAAACAAATTCAAACCTAATAATACTAACAAGGAAAGGAACGGAAAAACAATAGTATTGATAATAATAAGAAGGAGAATATTTGATGGTGCATCTGTTGAAAAAGACTACGCGTTACTTTTTACACCTACCCTTTTTGATTTATTTCGCTGCTTTTTCTACAAAGGAGAAGAGAAAAGCGTATGAAATCGAAAGAAATGTACTTGGGCCTTTGGGGAACGGAATTGATAGAGACCAATAAATTAGCCGCTTTTAATATTTTGTAGTCAAATGCAAAAGCATAATAAATTAGAAAAAGGAAATACGACTTCATTTTATTTGTTTGATGAAAAAGTGAGAAGGTATACTATGGAGTATGGACACAAATTAATTTCTTTCAAAAGCATGCAATAGCTTATTTAACCTTTAAAATTCATCTAATGAAAAATGAAAAGAACCTTTGNATCTCTTTATAAAATATTGTATGTATTTTTTTCGGTGAACGAACATTTAACTCAATTTCATTCATTTGAATTATTAAAGGAAAATCTCATTTTTTAGAGTCAACCGAAAATTCCACGTTTTTGTGATAATTAATTATTTTTTAACACATATGCATAATTTTGTAGAATGTTTTATAAAAATATTCAAAATTATTTAAAAAATTATCACGGGTTCACTAATTTATTTAAAAATAATTTGTAAAATATTCAATTTTATTTAAAAATTATCACGGGTTCACTAATTTGATTCTTTTACGGGAAAAAAAAAGAAGAAAAGTTGTGGACATAAAAAGAAAAAGAAAAAAGGGAGTGGAAAAGAATAGAAAGGCCGTATTCCTTGAATACGGTTTTTGAATTTTTTTTTTGTAAAACGTATTCCGTGAATACGGGTTTTTTTGTAAAAAAAATGTAAAAAACGTATTTAAGGAATACGTTTTTTAATTAAATTACACAGAAAACGTATGTACGAAATACGTGCTCTCTATGTTGGTCCACTCTCCCCTTTTTTTTTTGTTTTTTGTCCACTTATTATTTTTTTATTAATAAATATATAAATCTCCCGATTTCTTTTATTTATTTATGTTAGATGATTCAAGAGTAATTTTTTTTCATTTTGGAATGAACATTCTCAATAAGAAAATTTTCGTACACACGTTAGAGCCCAAAAAATTTAATAGTATTGTAAAATTCTTCTTAATTCACTAGTGCAGAATCCGTGCGATGCACGGGGTGGAGAGTTTTAAAGCTATCTAACCAGTCTTATTATTTTATTTGTGAATAAAAAAAATTAAAGAAATAAAACAAAGCTATAATATTATATATTATTATAAATTTCATTGTAGACAACATTTTTCACCTTATAAGCACAACATCCTCCCCGCAAACTATTTTCAAGCCATTTCGATTATGACATGGGAAATATCTACATACAACTGGCACGTGACTGAACACCGGCTTCTTCAAGAACATGTCAACATGTGATAAAGACTGACTCTGACTCTTGTTAATCGTTATGACATAAGAAACCATTAGGTGAAACTGCCTCCGTTGAAATTTGAAAGGTACTCTAATGTCAGAAGGTGTTAGAGTCATCCGAGGTATCAACACCTTTTCTCCCGCATTAGATTCAGTCAATACATTTCCAATCTCGTAACATTGCAAAACCCCATAGAAAAGTCAATATTCCCTAACAACATGGTCGTGGTTCATATCTTTAGATTCAACTTATTGTTCGGTACTCCAGAACATCTGATAGTATTCAGAAACTCGGGGTGTGGAGATCGGACAAAAAATCATTATTAGAATCATATTCGCACGTACTATCAGAGATCAATTATGTTTGATCGTTAGTCACGTTCATAGACATCATGTACTCATTTATAGACTCAATCACTTCCAACGTTGGGGCTAGTATAGCTCCGTCCTTCAAATAACTGGGATCATCAGTTGCATTCTTAAATATTGGATAGGTGCTCTCAATAATTGCAGCGACAGGATCATTAGTGGGCTTCAACAATATATCATCAGGTATGTCTATTAAGGCACATCCATCATTAGATCTCACAATAATTCCATATTCGATGCTTGTTACCCAATTAGGAAAAGTTGTCAACTCATCGCGTCTGTCCGAATCACCAAGGCTCTAAAAGCGCATATTTTTTGTAAGCCTCAACACAATACAATCAGCCCATATGTCGGAAGAATTAATTGCAACTTTCACAATATTCTGATGATTCCCATTTGAAATAACCGCGAGGATTGTTGGAAGTGCTCATCGTGAAATAGGATTTCCAAGTAATTCTTGTATTCAACCTCAAATTTGTGTTCAATTATTCGAATCGTACGCAGCATCATGGGTAGGCATGTCAATTAAGCCCATAGGGCCGGTTTACCCGCATTTTCGGGTTGGGTAAACCCGAGATGATTGAGTTTCGGGTCGAGTTCGGGTAGAATTATGCTACCCGAACCCCGGGGTCGGGTCGGGTGTTGCGGGTAGTAGAAAACCCCGTTACCCGACCCGATTATCCTACCCCTTTACACGCAAGCATTTAATCTTATATATAGCTTATTATAAATATAAAAGTAGTCATATATTATTAATATTAAAAATTAGATTATTTATTATAATTTTGGCTTTTGGTTAAATTTTATTTTATTTTTTTTATTTTTTTTGTCAATTTTTGTTAATTGTAGATGTTGATACCCAATTTGGCTTTGATTAATTAAATGATAAATGAAATAATAAAGTACAGCTCAATAACCAAGAAGCCGAAAATACATGATAAATAAATTACAAAAATATTCTCAAGACTAATCACCTAAAAGCCGCCAGGGTCTCAAATGTCGAGTCCGCTCACTGTCGAGCCGAACATAACTCAAAGTGATCGGATGGCACAGATACCATAGAGAAGCTGCCTCTAGTAGATGCTACAACTGCCGACAAGATAGACGTCAATCGAAGCCGTCAAAAGCCATAGATGGGCCCCCCGGTTGTCACCTTGCATTAAGTGCTAATGTACTATTTTTATATATTTACTAGTACAGAACCCGTGCGATGCACAGGGTGCACAATTTTAAGGCTATTTATCCAGACTTATAATTATATACATGAATAAAGAAAAATATACGGGATATATATAGTACGTGACCCGTGCGAAGCACGAGATATATTTATTTGGAGAATATTATATTATAAGATGCAATATTTAATAAAAGTTTATAATACGCAAGAAAATTGTACAATATTCAATAAAAGTTTTATAATATTCAAGTGGAGTCTTAAAGTCTCTTGTACATTAAGACTACTGACAAAATAAGATTTTAATCAATGAGTTTCCTTTCTTTTAGCCAAATTGTGAATGTGATTTGAGGAGTACAACAAATCGATATATAGCTGACTTGCTTTTTTCATTGTAGTTTTTTTTTCTTTTTTTATAATGAATGTAAAGATATTCTAAAATATAGCAAAAATTATTATTTTTATTACAATTAGGAATTTAACTAAATATAAACTCTCAATCTATGGTGTTAATCAATGTTTAAGTCTAAAAATTAAGAATTTTTACCTCTTTTAATCAACGTTTAAGTCTAAAAAACAATAGAGTTATTATAAGTTTTTTTTTTCTACATCTTTTAAAACATTAAATATGAGCATGTTAGGGCTAGCTTGTAAAATAATTAATATATTATCTCACTAAAACATTTATACTAATAAAAATGTAATTTTAGCATATAAATTTATCCCTTGATATAAGAGAAAGTAACAATTTTACTTATTGTTGTTCACCATATAATATTTAATTATTATTTTATTATATAATAAAAAAGAAATATTGTTAAATAGTGTAGTAGAATTGTTATAAAATTATATGATTTTTTTCTACAATATGGATTTAATATTTTTTATGATTTGATAATATAAACAAATCTATACTTAACTTTGGCAAATAAAACAAATAAATACTTTAGTAAGTATTTAATGTATATACTAAATAGGAATATATTTGGTATAATCAAATACCAAATATAATCAAATAAGTCAAAGTGTACATTTTTATTTGGTATTTGATTTTTTTATTATTAAAATATTTTTATTATACTTACCTTTTTAAAATAAAACAAATAAATAAATCAATTAAATAAATAAAATATTATAATACCAAAATAGTAATGACATTTAATGCAGTTGAATTTTCTGGATAGTAAATGTAGTAAATAGAATCTCCTTTTATATAAGTATA